CTTCGACGCGCGCTCCCGCAGGCCCAGTCGTGAGCCTCGGACCTCGACGCCATCCCCCAAGCTCCCCTGTCTACGAACCCCACTGCATGCGCTAGGAAGCGCCCCCAGCGCTTCCCCTCGCGGCCCGCGCCCGACGCAGTCGCCTCCGCGCCCAGCCCCTCGCCGCCCCGCCCCCGTAAGATCGCGTAGATCGTCGTGCAGGAGCCCTCTGACGTCGAACCGCCCGGCGGAACACAGCGACGGTGATCGGTCGACGCGAAACGCTGCGTTCGGCGCCGAAATCATTCGTTTTCAGGCTATTCGAGGCCATCTCAGAACGACCTCTCCCACGCCGATTTCGCACCCCGGGGCGACGTCGACGACTTCCCCGGCGCGTCACATGCGTTCCACGCCTTCGACAACAGCCCGTCGCCAGCGACAGCGACCGCACCGCGCCGCCCGTCCTCGCTCTCGGCGTTTCGGCGCCCGGCGGACATTCGCGAGTCGTCGAAGTTTCGACGCGCGACCAGAGATGCGTCACACCATCGACTCGTAACATCACGGCGGGCCTCTGGTTGCGAGCGCGTCCGAGAACTCGTCGATGCGCCGCCGCATGGCTGCATCGCTGAATCGGCCCACTGCCTGGCGCCGCCGCGGCCTCGCGCGCACCGCTTTCCCGGCGCCGAGGAGCTGGCCGCGGACGGTCCATGGGTCGGATGCCGCTGCGCGACGCTGCGCGGGGTCGCGCGGATGCCGCTGCGCGCGCGGCGCGGCGGCGGCGAGGAGCGCTTGCCACTGCCCGATGTTGCTCCCTGAGCCTCCTCAATCAATAGATTTCTGGAAATCGTGCACCGCTGCGCGAGTTTTCGCCCGGACGCCCTCCCGACGCGCTCCTGGAGCCGTGGCCCCGGCGGGCGCACCTTATAGAAATGACGAACGCCGAGCCCCGGAGCTCCAACGTCCAGAAAACGGCGAAACCGCCCAGACCCCGACGGCCGCGCGCGCGGTCCCGCGAAACCGCGCGCCGCTCGCCGCGATCGCGGCGGATTTCCGCGATTTTTGGACGGATCGATCGCTCTCGTCGAGTTCTCGAAGCACGGCCTGAGCGCCCGGTCCCGCACCTTCGAATGCGCGCACGTTGAAGTCGGGTTGACGATTTGATTCCTTGGCCCGCGGAAGCCGACGGTCGATCGCACGGCGCCGGCGGTCAGATTCGTCCACGCGGAGCCGGTCCATGCGGCGTCGGCCTCGATGACGAGCGCGCCGTCCGCGACCCAGACGTTCTCCGCCCGCGCCGCCGCGTCCCGCGTGCGGCTGTCGCCGGGACCGCGCACGTCCTTGACCCAGGTCGAGGCGTCAAAGGTGTCGAACTCGTCGCGCCAGCCGATCTCCCAGCCGGGCGCGTCGCAGAGGGATGCGGAGCTGGCGACGGAGCTCGAGGCCGCGGAGGCGCATAGTACGAACAACAGATGCAGCCACCGGTGTCTACATGTACGGGCAGCCATATTATCTACACATCCTTTGGCTTGGCGGCCAAACCCGGTTCAATGATATGCGTTTACCCGACATTGACCCGGGCCCGGAGCCGTCGTATGTCGGGCTGGGTCGCGGCCGCCCTGAGGCAGCCTTTCGGGACTCTATGAGCGCGGACGGGGTGTCCGCGACGCCGGACGAACCCGCAGCACCGACCACTGCAACCGACGCGGCTGCTCGCAAGCCGCGCGGACCCGAGGTGATCCTTGTGAGCGACGCCAAGAAGTGCACCGCTGCGGTCGCCGCCGAGGTCCCGAACCAGTGCGACACGAAGCTCTGGGTCGTCGGGAGGACGCCGGAGGGGAAGTACGTGTCCCCGGCGCGCGTCACGGTCGAGAGGCGGCTGTTCCTGCTCCAGTCGGTGCCCGACGGGCTCGTGAAGGGCGAATTCAAACAACCGCGCTGGGGCAAGTTCTCGGCGCTCAAGAAGCCCGACGGCGCGCCGGTCGTCAAGGGCGTCGACTGCTTCGAGGTGCGCACGGCGACGACCCGCAGCCACGTGCTCGGTGCCAAATCACTAGAACTCGTACGTGAGCGGCGTCCGCTCTTTGGAGCCCGCGTGGCTGCGCACGGCGTCGTCCCGGTCGCAGAGCGTCTTGTCGCTGTAGGTCTGGTGTTCCCCGGAGGTCATGCGCGTCCTGGTCGAGTCTCTCATCGCTACGTACCTGAAGCGCCGCTCGAGCTCGGGGAGCACCGCAGGCTCCACCGACGCGGCGGCGGCGCCCGCCGCGGCGGACGACGCGGACGGCCCGGACCTGGCTGCGCTGCTCAAGTTTTTCGTCGGCGACGTCTTTGCCCTCCCGACCTTCCTGCGCGCGGCCGAGGCGTCCAGCGTCGACACGGACGCGAAGGCGACGTCGACGTCGACGGCCGAGACGAAAACGAAACGGTCCGACCCGAAGCCCGTGGTGGACAGCTCCGAGGTCTGCTCGTTGATGCCGCGGCCCGCGAGGCGCGGCCTCGCCCAGGCGCTCGAGCGCTGCGCCGACGTCATCCTCTACGATTTGGCTCCTCTCGCGAAGGAGGAGATCCTCCTCGGAAGCTCGAG